GATTTTTTCAAATTTAGTGTTTAATGATGTCTTAGGGTTTATATTTTCAAGATTTATGATTTAATATTTAAAAATTTAAGTATTTAATAATATAAAAATTCAAATTATAGGACTAAAAAGTGAAATTTTAAATTTTAAATTTAAGAAGAAAAACAAAAAAACTATAGAGACAAATCGGCTTGGAGACCGATTTGGTCCCTAGAGCATTACCCAAAAAAATCGGTTTCTATTCAAATAGATCCATAATACATGTTGGCCAAAAAGAAAGGTCCAAGTTAGTGCCATATCAGCACCACATAGGAAACACCATTGAACTTAATAGAGATGAGCTTAACAAACTTTTGGATGGAGTCAAGATGTCCGTTGACAAAAGAATGACACTTGGCCTCCTCACCAAAGTTTAAGGATTATTATGAACTGTTTTTCAATAGAGGGATGATAATGACTCCTTTTCCAAAGTTCAAGGATTTTTTCTGACATTGAACCTATTCACAAATGTTCATCATTGGTTCACTTTTTTTTCGATAAATCAAAATTTTATTTAAAAAAAGAGTACAAGGGGTATTCATCCATTACATGTAGAAAATACAGAGTAGAAGGAAGGGAAGGAGTTAACACTGGACTACACAAAGGATTGGGAACTTGACACCAATCACTATAGCAAAAACTAGCAAATTTAAAGCTTCCTTTAATCCAAACAAAAGTTTTAACCTGCATTAAGTCTATAATATTACTCTTATTCCAAGAAAGTTTGTTTAAAACAACACCATTTTTGAAGTACCAAATGGTCCAAGTTGTTGCAAAGATGGTCAGAGTCCAACAGTGCCATGCTTTCCTTGGGATTAAAAGCGAGCAAAGTTGAAGATGCAAATGGGAGATGTTATCAATAGGGATAAATGTGAGTCCCCACTAGCAGCATATATGGCGCGCTCCAAAGACTTTGAGAAAATCTGCACTTAGCAAAAACATGGTTTGCATCTTCCATATAATTATCACATAGGATTAGGATGCATAGTGGGTTGGATGCTAAATCAACACCGTACTATATGAGGTTATCCTTGGTGGGGAGGTGATTTAAGAAGAAGCGCCAAGCAAAGACACTAACTTTAGCAGGCATCAATTGATTACATATTAATTTGCAAACATTCTCATCAAGGTAGGGAGGAGACACATCAAGAAACAAGTATACCATTTTTGCAGAATATCTTGAGGGGTAGTGCTTCCAAATTATTCTATCTGCTTTGCCTTTGGAAACAATAACACTTCGCAGAATGTCTTCCAACATCTCAAGCTAATCTAGTTCTTTTCTAGAAAAGGATCTGCGCCATTGAAGATTCCAACCCTCCTTATTGGTTGGTTTCAAATCAACTACTATCAAGTCCCTGTCTAAAATAAGATTCAACAAACAGGGAAATTCAAGCTTTAAAGGAGAGTTTCCCAGCCAAATATCCTTCTAGAAGCTGGTTTTAGAGCCATCACCAAGTTGATATGAGAATCCATTTGAGAAGCACATGGTGGCTTTATCGCATTCCCTACCAATGGATAAATATCCTTCCAAAGAGAAGATAATCTTGAGGACGTAGTGTTATTGATAATATCATTGGTTCACGTTTGATTGACGTCAAATGTTTTAATTTACTTTTCAATGAAATACATATTTCTTAGTAGTTTGAAATTAAAATTAATTTTTTTAAAATTTGTTTAAAACTCATTAAAAAATTTACTTATAAAATTTTTTAATAAAATTTTAAATTTATGAGAGAAAATTTTATTTTTAAAGTAAGTGCTCTTTAAACTTTTCCAAACACCTTTTAAGTCTTTTGTCTAGATCAAAAGGAAAATAGAGGGCTCAGCTGTTACTTTAACCCTATGTTTAAGTTGAGAAAAATGGAGAGGAAGGGAGGGGGGAAGGAAGGGAAGGAGAATTATTTTCTTCTTTTCCCCTTTATTCCCCTCCCTCTTGTTTCCCGCCAACTAGATAAGTAACCAAATTAAAAGATAAAATAAAGAAAAGTAAAAATTTCCCCTCCCATCCCTTTCAATTCTTTTATAACCAAATAAAAGAATTTTTTCCCCTCCTTTCTTCTCCCCGCCATTCCCCTCAAATTAAACATACTATAAGTGATTAGATTTGGAATACAACAATTGAAGCTTAGGGCATCCTGTTTTAGGGGTGGATATGGTTTGGTTTTGGTTACAATTACAATTAAAT